CCACCAGTCAAAAATCCGAATATGACTTCTGATTCTCCCAAAACTTAACTACTGTCAGCCCTTCACATCCTCAGATTCAACCAGTCATGGGTGGAAACAGTTTTTCCATCTGTGTTTGGGAATCTGCGGTTCGGAATCTGCAGCTGGGAATGCAAAAATACTGTTTTCGATACGTGGTTGGTTGAATCCGCAAATGTGAAACCCGGGATAGGAAGGGCTGGTATTTATTGAAAAATATGCTCACGTAAGTGGACCCAGGCAGTTGAAATCAGTGTTGTTCAAGAGTCAACGGTACTCAGGAAGTTCTAAGGCCTGATGAAGTAAGAGAGTTTGGATTTAATGTTAAGTTTCAGCTGGCTGTGGAAGTGGCAGGGACAAGAATGCAGAAACGAAGTCCAGAAGTAATTACAGAAATGGAAAACAGGTTTTCTGGTAAACGTCCTTCACATGGAGGAAAGAGGGTGAGGAGGGACTTGCCAACAGCCTTAGGACAAAGCTGTAGGAAATGAGCTAAAATTATAAGCCAGCTCACGTGGCGGGGCAGGCGGGAATACGGAGGCTGATGTCTCCCCGGGAAGGCAGTGTGTGGCCCTTGAGGAAAACTCATTTTTGCTTTATTGTGATTGAGTCTTGCAGAGAAATCTGTTTTCTGACTGAAAGCTGATAAATCAAGGCTGGCTGTGGGTGAGGCTATTTGAAACTGCCGATACCAAACAAATTTCTTTTAAAAAACAGAACACTTAAATTGTCAAGAGCAGAGCTATAGCAGCATTTGGAGGAGGAGGGGGAGGCGAGCAGAGCAGTGGAGGAAGCATCCCGGGTTTGAGACCACAGCACAGGCTGGACAGTAGTGACTCTCCCACTCTCCTCCTACACAGAGGGCTGCCCACGGTGCTGAAATCAAGAGCAGTCTAAAAAGGGAAAGAACTAGTGTCAGGAATCTCCTGGTGAGACACCGAAGTCAGAGCCCAGCTGGAGGAGACATCAGTGATTCAGAGTTCTTGGTGGGTCTTCTGAGCCCTTCTTCCCACCTCAAAATCTACTGACCATCTTTGTCTCAACTCATAATTGGTTTGTAGAGAGGGCAAGTAAAACGAGGATGTTGTTTATCCCCACCTCTTCCTTCTCTCTATACGTACCCCCTCACCAAAACAGTTGATTTAACTTTCTGAGTACCTCTTGAATTCAAATTCTTTTATCCGCATTTCTCTCCCTATTGTCTGGGCTGTGATCATCTCTTGCCTCAGTTACTGCAACAACTTCCTAATTGGCTCCCTTGCCCCTTTGTCCAAGCAGCAGCCAGAAAGGTCTAACTTCCCAGTATTTTATTATGAAAAATTTCAAACATATAGAAAGTTGAGAGAATTTTACAACGAATCCCTATATACCCACCACCTAGATTTTACCATTACCATTTTACTTTGTTTTCTTTGTCACGCCCCTAGCCTACCATCCAGCACTGTAGTCATCCAACAGTCTTATTTTTCATACATTTCAAGTAAATCACAGATATCAGCATCCTCCTAAGTAATTTAAGCATGCATATTATTAACCAGAGTTCAAAGTTATTCTGGTTTGTGTTTTTTTTTTTTTCCCAGAATGATGATACTCTCATGTTTAAGACCTTTGTAGGCTTAAGATTAATCTCAAATCCTTAACATGGCACATGGACCCTGTTTAATCTGGTCCCTGTCTACCCTTTCATCCTGATTTGTTTTTCTTTCTCTCATCTACACTTGCAGGCACTCCTTAATCCGGAGGTCTGTAATTGCCCTGCTTTCTTACTTGGCTCCTCTGCTGGCTATTTTTTCATAGTTCACTCTCTGTGGCTGCTAACTCTTACTTATCCCTCAGTTCACAGAATGGATAGCTTCTCCTCAGGGAAGCTTGCTTTGTTCCCCAAGGATTGGTGAAATGTTCTCTTGGGGTCTTCCACTTGCTGCTGTCATAGCACTTCCCTTGTTATTTTATGAATGCCTGCTTACAGGTTCGCCCCAGCATTAGAATTGTAACCATAATTCTATCCTTCTTGGTGAGAGACAGAGACAGGGTCCCAAACTCCAGTTAACTTGAACTGTCTTTAATACTTTCAACACTCTGCATTCACTCTTTTGCTTTGCACATGCTTTTTTCTTTCAACTGAGAACTCTCCCCTATTCTCAGCACTTGCTACCTTCCCTTAGCGGTCACCTTATTTTTTAGGTCTCAGTTTGGAGTGGTCACATTCACATCTTGGTTAGGTGGTCTCTCCTGGTGCTCTCACAGCCCTTGCGTTACCTCTATCATGATGTGATGCTGTTCCTGGAATTGTCTGCTGACTTACGTGTTCCCTTCTGGGCTGAAA